AATTATCAAGCTTTAAATTTAAAACATTGATTTACTCGTGTGCGTGTGTGCTCGCATGAGCCACAGCACATGCATGGAGGTAAGGGGACACATTACAGGAGTCACTTCTCTCCTTTCATCATGGGAGTCCAAGGGATCAAACTCAGCAAGTCAGGCTTGGCAGCAAATGCCTTTACCCACAGAGCCCTCTTACTGGCCCAGATGTTGCTTTAAATAAGCGCACACATTGTACTTAATCACGGATGCTATATACTGCCTTCTAAGGAGTATATAAATCTGTCACTTAGGCCAGTCCCACTGACTCTTAGTTAGAAGGTAACTGTGAACGGTTCCTCCTTTACTGTCTTGTCACACTTCCTGTCTGTAGTGAGAGCCTTAAATCAGGACTCAAAGGGTGTCTTCAAGTGTAGAATTTGGGAAGCTCCCTGGAATAAGTGTCTCGTCTCTGCTGGTCATGTTTACTCAACTCTGATCACCAGTGAGCTGATATCTGATAATCACTTTTTCCTCTCTTCTTGTCTCATTAGGCAAAAAAAAAAAAAAAAAAAAAAAAGGAAGCTACATAGCATCAATTAGAAAATTTAGGTAACTAAAGGAAGATGGGAGGGGAGCAATGGAGGGTAATGCAATATGTGTATATGTATAGCCTAAGAGCAGAACGGGAGGACACATGTGTCATATGTGCAGGGGAAGGATCAGCAAAGGAAGGAGGGGGTGGGGAGGAGGGCACGGCAGACACGAATAACATGGATGGAAATGTCAGAGTGGAAGCCACTCCTTTGTGTGCTAACCAAAGGTATTGATAAATTCTGAGGCTGCAGATGTGGCTTCCTTGGTAGAGCTCTTGCCTGGTATGCGTGAAGCCCCGTGTTCAATTCCTAACCCTTCAGAAACCAGGTGTCCTTGTGCAGAACTATAATCCCAGCACCTGGGAGAAAGAGGCAGGAGACACAAGTTCAAGAACATCTTTGCTGTATAGCAAATTCTTACTGTATAGCAAATACTGTATAGCATAGGCCGGTATGGGCTACATGAGACCCTGAATTAATGGGAAAGGAAGAGGGGAAGAATGGGAGAGAGGGAGGAAGGGAGGAAGGGAGAGGAAGGGGAGGAGGCAGGGAAGGAGGCAGGGAAGGAGGCAGGGAAGGAGATGAGATGAACCAGCAGAATCAACGAAAATCAGGTAAGGCTATAAAACGAAAATCAGGGGAGGGCTATAAAAAGTAAAATGAGGGGTACGTAAATTATTTCGAAATAATAAGCCTTGCCTGCAAGGGTTCACACCAGGGGTGCTGTCTATCTGGGACTGGACAGAGACCGTTGCTAGGCTGATATCCTTTCTGAATTATTTGTGAGTGCATAAGGTTGGGTAGAGCTGTGTTAGCTAGTTTGTAGCATTGTGATCAAAAGTCACAGCTTAGGCAAGGAAGGGTTAGCTTCAAAGGTTTCAGTCGGCCATGGGTGTGGGGCAGTGAGCGGAGCTCCTCAAATCCCAGCAGCCAGGAAGCCTAGAGAATGCATGCTCTCCCAAGCGCCTCTCCTAAGGGCCTTCTTTCCCTCCTATTCCCAGCCTATGGGGCGCGTCCTTCTCCCCTAGTTATTCCCTGCTGGAAACCCTCTCCCAGATTTATCTAGAGATGTTATTCTTTCCTAATCTCCTTTTGCTGTCCTCAGCCAGATCAAGTAGACAACCAAGATTACCCATCGTAGTTGTGGTTCTTGAAGAATATGATCAGGATCCCTTTCTTCATAATCTCCTGGCTTGATTGATTTTTTTTTTTTTTTTTTTTTTTTTTGGTTAGGATTGACACACACAGTTCCACATAGTTCTCGTAACTACCAGGCAGGTGTGTGCCTTCAGGATCTGTGTTTTGGCCTCTCGTGTAGGAAGAATACCTTACTCTATCATATGTATTGTCTTATAAAATCTTATAAATCTAGGAGGGATTGACCCATGCACAGAATGAGGTTTTTGGGGAGAGGTCCTAGGAACTTTAAGAAATAGTTCTGAGGTCATGTTTTCCTACCCTTTAATACTGCTCCCCCCCCCCCACCAAATATAGGGATTAGAGACCAAATCCCATTTAGGATTTGGAGAAAGTTTAGGAGTCCTTGCCCACATCACTTCGCCACTGGTAGAACCCCAGAGGCTATTGATAGTGAAATCCTTCTAGGCCAGACATACCATCCTAGTTGGTTAATTAGACTTGCAGATTCCAGTGAGGAGGGGTAGGAATAGTAACTTTTAAAGCTGGCAATCTGCGAAGGCAGCGTAGGACTATCCTAGAAATGTGGCATATCAATTCTACCTCCGGTCGGGTAGTGTGCAGAGATATGACTACAAATTGGAGGCCGCATGGATTGTTCCAGGAGCAGGCTGCCAGTAACACAGCTGCCAGTACTCAACATTACCAATAGACACATGTCTCTATTTATCCACTAAAGTGAGGAGCAGTTTCACAAGCCCTCTCCCATTAGCTGGGGATGGTGGGAATAGCAGTGAGTTTAGAATGCTCAGCCCATTCATAACAAAGCTGGAAAGGGAAGCAACATCCCCACCACCATTTTCAATGTATGGATATGACGAACGCCTCTTATTTTGTTGTTTTGAGACAGGGTCTCACTATGTAGGCAAGGGTGACAGTTGTCATCAGCCTTGTAAAGGCTGAGATGACAGGCACATGGTGCCACATCTGGTATGGTTAAAACATTCTACCTTGCTTTTGCTTTTCTGCCCTGGAGAGTTTTATTAGTTTTATTAGCTCTCTTGATGTTTCTTTAATGATATCCTTTTTGGAGGAATTTGTTGTCAGGGAAAACAACCTTTAGTGTTTTAGGTTGCTATTTTTGAAGGATGTTTCTAGCTTTAGTATCCTCTTCTGTGAAATAGGAAAACTAATAATGTGGTTTTTTTCTTTCTTTGTTTTTGTTTTTTGAGACAGGGTTTCTCTGTGGCTTTGGATGCTGTCCTAGAACTAGCTCTTGTAGAACAGGCTGGTCTCGAACTCACAGAGATTTGCCTGCTTCTGCCTCCCAAGTGCTGGGATTAAAGACGTGCACCACCACCTGGTTTAATAAAGTGCTTTTCAATAAGGTTGTTGTAAGCATAACCACATTCCTACATGTTGTTACCATGTAGGAAGCAGTTTTTGGTGCAAGGTAAATATTTAATAAATATGAAATGCTCTGTTTTCTGCTAATACTGGGTATGAAACTATTTGACAACAATTGAGTTTGCACAATTACGATTCGTATTGGCAATTGTTAAAAATTACTTGTTTTTCCCTAGTGTATTTAGTATTCAGTAATTATTAATCAAACTAATGAACGAATATCTGTTGTTCAGACACATATACTATATCAAAAATCATTGATATGACCTTTTACATTGTACATGCTCTTAAACATATGTTCTAATGTTTAGGGTAAATATCTTTGTTTTTCTGGTCAAGTAGGGACAAGAAGGTTAGGTGTGGGAAAATAACATTCATATTCATACTCCATTTTTACTGTATTTATTTAATGGAAGGAATTGTTGCAATAATAGATTTCTTATTGTTCAGTAGGCCCCTCACATCTCGGCTTTGTAGTTAGTATCAAACTTTTGAGTTCAACACAGTACAACCATAGCCTCCATGCCTTTCATGCATTCTAGCTGTTTGCTTTGGGGCTCTGTCCTATTCCCAGGGAGGAATAGGGCTTCAAAGTCTGGGTACCATACATTTTCTTGAAGAGAGATGGCCTATTCTTTGAGGCAGACTGACACAGTAGGTGTGTGTGTGTATGTTGTTGTTGTTGTTGTTATTGTTTTGGAGTTTCATGTTTCTGCTTTTTAAAGATTTGTTAATCTTTATTTTATGTGCATATGAGTGTTTTGCCTACATGTATGTCTGTGCATCGAGTGCATGCCTGGTGTTTGTGGAGACCAGAAGAGGAATCAAATCCCCCAGAATGGAGTTAATGATAATTGTGGGCTGTCGTGTGGGTGCTGGGAACTGAACCCTGGTCCTCTGCAAGAGTGGCAAGTTCTCTTAACCACGGAGTCATCTCTTCAGCCCCAATTCTCTGTCTGTCTGTCTGTCTGTCTGTCTGTCTGTCTGTCTGTCTGTCTGTCTCTTTCTCTCTCTCTCTCTGTATCCATGTATGTATGTATGTGTGGTGATATCTTTCTTGCACAAATAAGCAGGGAGAAACAGGAAATCACTCTCTTCTCTGCTTATATCCTGTTTCTGTCCAGCTACGTTACTTCCTGTCTGTCTGTACAGACCTCCAGACCTCTATGGTTAGCTAGTGGCAAGCTCCATACATACTCTGACCCCCAGACAGGCTTTATTTGTGCAAATATACCACCACATATACGTATGTATGTGTATTACCTGAGACAGGGTCTCATTATGTTGTCTGTGCTTGTCTCAAACTGCTGGGTTCTTGCAACCATTTTGCCTTGATCAGAGTATCTGGACTGCATTGTGTACCTGACTTTAACACATTTAGGCAATTGAACACCCCCAAGTAAACAATACCTTAGTCCAGCCCCTGTTACTTGAGCAAAGTGTCACTGCACTGGACCCTCAGTCCTGTCTCCAAACACTTGTGTGTAGCATGTTACTTCCAGTCTATGTGGCCCTTCTGAAGTCTATTTCTCCCTTTAAAGAACCAAGCTTGTAAGAGAAGGCTCAAACACTTTTGGCATGCCAGCCTGGAGAAGTGGAAAGACCAGTCCTGGGAAATTCTCCAGCTCTTACTTCCCTGTGACCCTGAGGTTCAGGTGCTTTCCTGGAGGATGAGAACTATAATTAGGTAACCCTACCCACCTGGGGCATTGTAAGAGGCAATGCCCTGTTTAGAGGAGGGGTGGATTCCAGGACTCACTGACACAGTAGCAGTGTAACACACAGTGTACCAGTGTATCATATCTCCAAACTAAGACTGGGTTAAAGGATAAGAAAGAAGCCAGCATTTAGGTAATACTAGTTTTTTTTTTTTTTCTTTGTAAACAGGAGATTCTGATTTGTACATTGGATTGGCCAAACCGCATAGGAGAAATCTCATGGGATGTGTTTTTTGTGACTTTGAACTTCCTGGTGCCAGGACTGGTTATTGTGATCAGTTACTCCAAAATTTTACAGGTATGTTTGTTTCTGTGCTGTTTTGAACTTCATTCCCTCTGGGCATTTCCAGTAGAATCTTAGAACTTCCGAGTCAGAGGATACCGCGGAGGTTCTAACAGTTCTGTCCTGATTCCCTGCACAGATCCTCTGCTACTTCCTGGGATAGTGACGGACAAGAGTTTATATATTTATTTTGTTTTTTGTTTGGTAAATCAGTTATGTTCTTGTACATCTTTTCATCATTAAAATACTACTGGGTTATAAAAACATTCAGTTGAAAACAGGCACAGAACTATGTAACACAAAAGTTAAAAATCTATTCTCTTCCCAACCTTAATGGCTCTACCGTGTTTCTGCGGTATTACAACACCATGAACATTTGAGTGTAGATTCAAATGGTCAGATGGCTGTTGACACTGTTCACTGTTCTTTTCAGATAGGAGATGCTACTGCTTGATAACATCCTTTTTTTTTTTTCACTCAGGACATCAGTCTATATCAGTTCCTGTATCTTATCTTGTTGTTGGTTAAGAGTTACATAGCCTTCGTCATATAGGCATGATATAATCATCTCGTGGACTTTGGAGTTGTGTCCAATTGTTTTCCCACAAACACAGCAGTGACTGACAAGGTCTACTTTGTAAGATTTTGTTTTTATGGAAGTATCATATACTAATATAAAATCACACCCAGCTTACGTATTCTGCTCACAAATTGAACGCTCTCATAAGTGGCTCCTGGATGGAGAATAGAACTTGGCATGAAGCCCTTCCTGTCCCCATGGGTCAGTGACCTTATCCTTGGGAATTGTCCACTTCAAGTGTGTGTGGCACAGGAAATAAATGTTGTCTCTTAGAAAAGTAAATATATGTACACAGACATATAAAAAAAAAATGGGCCGGCCTCTGCTTCCTGGCCCTAAAGAGATCATACTTGTTGCCATCCAACATACACAAGCATGTGTACTTATGCCCACTTGTGAGGTTTATCTCAAAGCTCTCGAGCCCCCTTGGAGGCGTACAGTGGTTGACTCTTGGTTTTATAGCATCTTTTGTGTGGGTCCTGATAAATAGGTGTGTTGAAAAGGACTTGATTACCTTCTGGCCACTTTTATCATCCTTTATGGCTGTGGATTTGTAGCCTTTTTACAAACAAAACCCACCCCAGGCCAACCTCACCTAAGGCTGCCTGTCCCTGCTTCTGTGGGAGGTAGTGCTTAACTCTCTAGCCAGACTCATCCCACCAGGTGACTCTCCAGGCTTAGGCAAATTCCAGGGTATAGGGCCCTGAAAAGCGCTTGCATTGGGTGACTTGCCATATTTTAATGTTATAAAAGAATTAATTTATATCATAAGATCACAATGAAAGAAAAGAAAGAGAAGGACAGACTGAAATAGAACACATTTTTAAATGTTTGTATTGCTTTGGTTTTGTTGAAGCAGGGTCTTACTCTATAGTTCTGGCCAGCCTGTAATTCCCTATATGGACTAGACTGGCCTGGAGCTTGCATTAATCCTTCTGTCTTTACCTCCCAAGTACTAGGATTACAGGCACACACTAATGTGCTAGGCCACATTTAAAAAAAAATTTTTTTAACACGTATGCATGTAGTGTGTAACAAGAATAATAAAAACCCAGTGACTGATAGTGGGTTTCAAGCTTCAAGCTGAAGATCAGAGAAGCAAAGCAGCCAGCCTCTAGCTCTTACCTCTACCTCAGGCTGAAAGGGCTATCCTCTCCTCAGTGTGGCTGGAGAATAATTGCCTAATACTGACTTTGCTTCTTCTTTTTATACCTCTCTAGTGCTGGGATGAAAGACATGTGATCCCAAGTGCTTTGTGTGAACTGTTTCACTTTAGGACTGGACCAATTTCCTGTAGCTCAGTGTAGCCTTGAACTAACAGACATCCATCTTCCTGTCTTCTGAGTCCTGGGATTAAAGGTGTGTGCTACCACGGCCTGGCTCTATGGGCTAGCTAGTATGGCTGCTGGGATTAAAGGTGTGTATCACCACTGCCTGGCTCTGTGGCTTGTGCCTAGCTTTGCTTTCTGTACCCTCAGGCGAGCCTCAATAAATCGTAAGTAATACATCACCACAGTAGTGTTTAACATGCAGCAGGCACTAACTCATCTCATGCTAACAAGATTCTTAGACGAGGCAATCCAGAGAGGTTGTGCAATTCACCCAAGGTCACCGTGGTGGACGGGGGGCTTAGAGGTATCAGCTTCAGTGTTTAAACCCAAGCAGACCGGCCCCAGAGTACCGTCCAACAGTTCTGTTCCTCAGAGGTTTGTGAAGAGTTGGATGTGCAGAATGGTGGCAGGGAGTGGGTGTGGTTCAGGACTGTACAAGCTATATATCATCTGCCTAGAAAGACCTTTGACAAAGAGACAGCTGGACAGTGGTGCTTATGTCTAAAGCAAGGAACACCACAGCTTCACAGGGGAGAGTGAAGCGCAAAGCTAAAGCAAGCTGTTAGCTATTGCACACATGAAGGATCATTGTGGGGCCTGGTAGAGAGCAAAGAACTGTGGGAACAGACACGAGGCTTGGAAGGCTCTTTTGAAATTACCTAGCTTTGAGTCTTTCCTGCTGGTTTACTTTGCTGAGTTGCTGGAGTGCGCTACTTACATTCTCTGAGCCCCATTTCCATCATTTGCAGATTGGCAGCCTTAATTTTCTAGTGTGAAGTTGTACAAGGCAAGTGTGTGTGAACTACCCGCCTGGTCACAGTAGGCCCTGAATAGCATGGCAGATGCTTATTTGCTAGGCTGGGCTGTCCTTCCAACCCTTCCCTCCGAGTATGCTAAGAAATGGCCTCATGCAGGTTTCCTGGAGGTTAAACAGCAGGTTGAGATTTGTAACGAGAATAAGAAATCATGGCTGGAGCAGACTGGCTGAGAGGGACGGCAGCACCTAAGCTTCCCTGGTTGTGAGAGCCGGAGAAGTCAAGAGGGCTTTGTTGTGCCCCTTCCCATGTGTGACACACCTTCCTGTGGGGAGTGTGATTTCCCATCCATTGCAGTCTCGATCCCGGGGCTGGGCCTTTCCTTCGGCGAAAATCAGAAATTGCCTTCAGGATCAGGACGGGGAGAGCCCTCCTTTCTCTCCTCTGGATGACAGGGCACCGTGCTCTCCCCACACTTGAGTCTAAACTCACAGCCCCGCACATCTCCGCATCTCAGACCCCTGCACAGCTTCCATGTGCTACAGAAGGGCTGTGTGGTTTGCAGCTCTGGAAAACTGAATGCTAGGTCACAGTGGAAATTTATAACCATTGCTTCCTTTCCTTACACAGGAACCAGATGCAAAGCCCCTACCTAAAGTCTTGTGCAATTAGCCTTCTGCCTGACCCCCTTAGTCCCCTCCTGTCTCATGTCCAGGTGGGCTGGAGACTGCCCCTAGGATGCTCTCACACAGGGCATGACAGCTACCACTTCCTCTCCAGGATCTCTCTTCCCTGGATTGCTGTGTGGACCACTTCTCACTTACTCAGAGTTCTTCTCTAGAAGCATTCCCGGTCACTGGCAATGTCTCCGTAACAGGTTTCTCCTCGAAACACTGCATTTTCTTGTCGGTCAGTCACTCCCACTGCTTGGCTGCAAGCTCCATGAGAGCAGAGGCTGTTTTGTTCACTGTTGTGTCTGCATGCCCAGACGGAGCTGGTCTGTAGGGGTTCACTTTATACTTACTTGCATATGTGTGAGGTTCAAGCCTTGGAGCATAGTGAGATGATTTTTCTCTTCAGGACTCTTTGCTTGGGCAGTCTCTGGACAGAGCCACGAGACAGGTTCAAGATTAAGCTTTGCCAACATGTAACCTTGGGAAAGCTGCTGAACTAGTGTGGGCCTCAGTTTCCACCGAAGCCAAATATTTATAGATTGATCAACACAGAAAAGAACAGATGTGGTGCCTGAAAAACCCCAATTCTAGTACAAATAGAAAATTGAAAAATTTCCCTTCTACACTACCACTAAAACTGATCATTCCACTTTTTCCTATGGGGACCATGTCATTAACTCTCACTTTGTACTTGTGAGTTTGTCAGGCTGGTGCCTTGGAAGCTGGGAAGTGTGTCAGATGCTGGACAGGGCCTCAGAGTTGACATCTCCTCCCCAAGAAGGTGCACAGCCCAGGCGCACTAAACTGGCCCGCCTACCCAGGCCTTTTCTGCCAGGAACATGGCTATAGACTCCACTGAACATTAATATTCAATTAGCCACATTCACTGGACGCAGATCTATCACCCCACCCTTCCCCACCAGTCTGGCCTCCTCTGCCTGTCTCTACTATCTCTAACTTGGCTCCATTTCAGGGCTTGAAAAGTACTCTTCTCATATTACCTCATTCTTAACTGCAGAGCAGCATCTTTTAGGCTGCTCTCTAAAGCCCCATGGGATGATAGGTATAGAAAGAGTTCTGCAAACAAACTTGAGAAACACAGAGCTAGGAATTCTCTGCTGTGGGCCTTGAGAGCCTGTTTGTGCTAATACACTTTGGACGTCACCAGCACAGCATCTCTCCCAATGGGAAGCCCTGCTCGATGCTTTGCTGGATCTGAGCTGGGCTCAGTGTGGGCGTCCAACTGCCTCTTCCCCTGCTCATATCCCTTCAGGAAAGGTTTCGTGTGATGGGCAGGGACTATTTTTGCCCTCTGCCCTCTCTGCTTCCTCTTTCCTTGTGACTCAGCCATGCCATACATTTTCAGTGATGTTTTTCCTATTGACAGTTTCCCTCAGTGCCTTGGATCAGATTGTCAAGACTGGCAGCTTTCAAGAAGGTTTACAAGTTCACCCAGCAACCATAATGATGATAGGCTGTGATGTCTCTCCAGCTGTAACTCTGTTTCTTGTTCTCCCTCCCTTGGGCTACATACACAGGGCCTGGGAGTGTAGTGCCGGCAGGATTCCCTTGCTTCTTACTCTTGAGCCCAGCTTCTTCAAGAGCTCTTAGCATATAGTAGGGTCTCCATAAATATTTGTTTAGTAAATACTTGTTTAATGAACCAGTGGTTCTATGGCCTGCAGATGGAAATCCCTCTGCCTATCATTGAGTTCAGCTGAGAAACAAAAATCTACTTCAACAGAACACAAAGCCTGGCCCTCACTGCCTACCACTGGGGGCTTCGGTCATGTTATAGGCTTAGATTTGGGTCCTGAGTTCTGAAGGTACCTGCTGAAGTTTCCAGGTTGCATCAGGGACACATAATTAATAATAGTAATAGGAATAGAGTAGTAAGAGAAAGACATTCCTGAGAATGGGAGTGACCCAATGAAATGAGTCGTGGGGGGGGGCTTCCACATTAAAAGAAACAAAGGAAGAAACACCTGAGCTGGCTCTAGTGTTACAGCCCTTTATGGGTAATTTACAAAGCACTTGCCTCTCCTTTGGTTGCATATTGCATGTGTATATGGCAGGTAGGCTTTTCTTGAACATGCCTTGTTGCATTGGGGTTGGGAGGCATTTCCAGCCCTTTGCCATCTGGCTTCTTTCCTTTTATTCTAGATGCTACTCCCCCTAGCCCTTCTTCTCTGGTCATGCTTCTTTGCAGGTAGACCCCTGGGAAGGTGGGGCCTCTTGTCTGATGACCCTAATCAGGACACTCCTGACCAGCCAATGATCTCCACAACGGAGGCTAACCCCCACCCAGGGCCCCTGCTTCTGTCAGTGGGAATCCCCTTCCCTCCCAGCCTTCAGAGGTTCATGTGGCTCCGGTGAGTCACAAAAGGGCTGTTTTTAAAAATTGCCTTTATTAAAGGTCTAGAGAGAAAAAGTCCAAACTGAGCAGCTGTGTGGGATTAGCAGTTCCTATGCCCTAGGGAGCCAAAGTCACCTTGACAGTTCAAGAGAATTGTGCATCCCTGGGTCCCCTCACTGAATCCAAGTGTCTCAGGAAAAAAAAAAAAGAAAAAAAAAAAAAAAAAAAAAAAAAAAAAAAAAAGTCACAAATCAAGATGGTTTTCAAGTACATTAGTGGGAACATCAGGTGGGTGAGTTACAGCCAAACAGGGAAGACCTCTGCCGTAGACCTCAGATGTCACCTGGTGACATGCTTCCCGCCTTTTGGTTGGTGGAAGCTACTGGTCTGTTGAGTAAATACACTACAAATGGTTGCACCTGTTAGTCCCAAGGATGTTAGGCCTGACACAGAGGTGAGTGGGCTAGCTGTTAAAGGGGCTCAGAGTGGCCAAGATAAATGATAATTGGGCTCTGGATCTGCAACAGCAATCTCTGTGCCATCACTGTCTGTCATCCTAGTTGGCTGATCAGCCTTATAGAAGGGTTAGGGTCAGGGGTAGTTCCTTCCAGGATCTTTTGTGTTTTACCAAGTTCCCAGTGGCCACGGAGCACAGTCTAATGAGCACTGCCCCCCTCCCAACTGGCAATATGCCAGGATGAAGACGTGCATGGGCATCTCTGCATGGGGCTCCCAAAGTGGAAGAACCCCAGGACAATCCCTACACCCCCCCCCAGGCTTGCTTTGAGGGTGAGAGTTAATCCCCAGAAGGTAATGGAGACTTGATAAAGGCACAGGAGGCATTCCACCAAAGCCAGAGATACTGGGAATCCTGGCTAGAGGCTGACTAGCCTGGCTGTCTAATGTGGGGTGGGGGGGTGAGGAAGGACTCACATCTTATGACAAAGCCTCATTTTCTTCCTGGTTGAACCAACTGTGAGGACTGTGGTGTTAGGACAAAGAGTAGCAGCTGTCATTTAAAAAAACAAACTCTTAGGCTCTTGGTGATCCCAGTCATTGTCAGCACCTGCAAGGGCCCTGGGCCCCACGGAGCTGGTATTTATTTCTGCTCGGCCACTCCCACCTGCACACTGGAGTAGACTGGGCCCTGAGTAGTAAGGGAAACCCCAGGGAGCTCCACTTTCACAGGAGGGGGCTGTCACTATCTAGTAGCAGAAAAAAGAAAAAAACAAAACAAAACAAAACAAAACAAAACAAAAACAAAAACTACTTTCAGCCAGTAACTTCCATTTCCTGTGACTCAATTTGCAAGAACGACAGTGGTGTGAATGCACAGAGGATACGTGAAGATTAAAGGTGACAACTGATGGAATAATAAATGCCTAGCACGTGGCAGGCAGGGAGCCAACAGGAAAGTGCAGCCATCCTGATTGCTCACATCCTGGTGTTCTGGTTGTCAGGCGCATTGAGAGGGTTCCAGTGAGTTCACTGGGCACCTGCTGTCCCTGTCTTGCTCACAAACAGGTGGCTCTAAACGCCCACCCGGCAGAGTGAGAAGCAATCATGTAATCATGCGATAGTTAAGCATCTATCCTTCAATTGGGGAATTTAAAGGATTGTAAGGAGGACATTTTAAGCCATTTTGATGAGTTCAATTTGCCCAAATTGTGAATGATGCTAATGACTTGAAAATTACTTCCTCTCTCCGAGATGCAGGGATGTTAGGAAAACAGGCCCCACATCCCATCCCACCCCCAATCAGAAGTGGCAATGTGGCTGAGAGAGAAAGGCCCTGGCCAGCTCCAGCAGCTAATAATAAGGACCACTAACATGGGTAGGACACGTCCCATTGGATCTCTTTCTTTAGGACAGAGGTAACAACAGACTGGCAGGTGAGGCCAATAGACACAGATGTCCTTCACGTTCCTGGTGAGAGGTGCCTGGGCCAGACTGTAATCCACCATTACCAGCCCCACCTCAACCCACCTGGGCTTCAATCCTCAGTACCACAAAACAAAAACCATCCAACAGGAGACCCCTGACGATGTCCACAGTGACCAGTAGCTCCAGTTCTTTGTGTTCCCCGCAGATCACAAAAGCGTCGAGGAAGAGGCTCACGTTGAGTCTGGCGTACTCCGAGAGCCACCAGATGCGAGTGTCCCAGCAGGACTACAAGCTCTTCCGTACCCTCTTTCTGCTCATGGTCTCCTTCTTCATCATGTGGAGTCCTATCATCATCACCATCCTCCTGCTCTTGATCCAGAACTTCAGGCAGGACCTGGTCATCTGGCCGTCCCTCTTCTTTTGGGTGGTGGCCTTCACGTTTGCCAACTCCGCCCTAAACCCCATTCTGTACAACATGTCGCTGTTCAAGAACGAGTGGAGGAAGATTTTTTGCTGCTGCTTTTTCCCAGAGAAGGAAGCCATTTTTACAGACACATCTGTCAGAAGAAATGACTTGTCTGTTATTTCCAGCTAACTAGTAGAGCCAGGAGAACTTCTGTGTGCGTGTAAAGGGAGTCGCCATCCTTGAATGTCAGCAGGCACCCTGCTGTAAGAAGATCCAACTTCCAATAGCACGCATGTACAGGGCCAGCGAGTTAAGGAATGATCACTCTGCATAAAAATATTTTTCCTTTGAAAAAGCTTTCTTTGGGTTCCTTGTTATGAACTTTTTTTTAGCGTGTTTGTAATATAATTGAGTTAATAAATTGTTATTTATAACTGTTTCTCCATATAAACCTGTGCCTCGTGGTTGCCAAAACAAACCTTGGAGCTGATTCAGGGGCTCAGATTTCTCAGTGAGAGGTCATGGCCATGGTAAGTCCCCAATTGGGCACATATAAGGTCTTGAGGTCATTTATTCATTCATGTTGAGACTGTTTAAGGAATTTCCAAGGAACAATTAGACCTGACCTTTTTGTTTTAATGTATTAAAACTGGGCAGGAGACATGACTCAAAGGTAATATTCTTGCCTAGCAAGCATGTGGCTCTGGGTTCAATGCCCAGTAGATTAAAAAATAAAAGTGAAAGCAACACCATAGACTCAAAGAGGGTGGACCCTGATGCTGGAGAGGGAGGTCAGAAGTGGTTGCTTTTACACTCCATCCACCAGCGGCCTTTGAAACACCTGTTGTGGCTGTGCAATGTTTTTTTGTGCTAGGACTCCATTCAGTGTTAGTGAAGCCGTAGCCCTGGCTCTGTTCTCAGGGAGCTCACCTTCTCATGGGGGTGGGGAACCTCAAATGCTAAACAGAAACCAATGAATAATGGAGTCCCCTAGAGTGAATATGCACCCTGGAAAAAGTAGGGCAGGGTACTGTGGGGGTGAGGGTTATTTATATGGGATGGGGGAAAAACTGAGGAGCAACAGTTGAGTTGAAAGGCTAAAGGCAAGAAAGAAGCTCTCATGTGGACTCAGAGGAAGGACCTTTGCAGGAAGAGAGAGGCTGGTGAGTTATGTGGTCCAGGAATTGCAAACTGTTGACTGAGCCTTCTTTGTCCTTGATGCTAGGAGAGAGGAGAGGTGCTCACCCCAGAGCCCATCAGTGGATGCCAACGAAGTTCCAGGGCTAGGACAGGGAGGACCTGGCAGGCCGGCATAAGAAGTTCACCCAGGGTTCAGTGGGCAGCACTGGAGGCTTGCAATGGGAGACCTGAACAATGAGTACTTTTATTCTGGCTACTCTGTAAGGCACAGGCTTTAAGGGGCAAGAATAAAAGTGGAGACCAGGCGTGTGGCTGCTTGAAGGTTGATGGGACCTTGAAGGACTGTGTGAAAGAATCTTGGGATGTGCTTGGGAAGGTGGGACAAACAGTTTACTTATGGAGAGTGAAGATGAGGGAAGACGGCATTCCATTGGCCCCCTGGACTTCAAGCCTGGCTCTGCTTAGACAGTGGAGCAGGCAACAAAACTGAGGGAGACTGGGAAGCAAACGGGCGTTCACTTAGAGCATATGCTTGAAATCCCAGTGAGAGAGGCATAGGAGAGGCCACTGGATGAACAGACACAGAACTGGGCCTGGCAACGCAATGCTGTTGGGAAATATAGATGGTGTTTGGGGACCGTGGTTTTATGAAATAGTCTCCCAGAAGATGAAGAAAGGAAAGAAACCAGAGTCAGAGACTGAGCCCCAGGATATGCCAGCAGGTAGGTCTGAGATAAGATTTATGGTGACCATGACATTAAGGACAAAATAACAAGACACCTTTGTTCCTATTTGGCCAATAGATTTGATACATCCATGCTCTCTTTTGAAGGGAATGTGTGAGTATCTTAGGTCTGCGGTGTCAAACTGAAGTGGAGGAGCCTGTCTGTCAGCTTGTTCTTTGGGAGTAAACAGCTGGGCTTTTCTTGTACTTGGCTGTTTCCTCTGCCTTTGCTGGAGAACAAGGCACAGGGGCATTTGGCATGAGCTCCCCATGGTCCTTAGAAATGTCAGCACCCCATCTCTAATACACTTCACGGATACCCTCCAGTCTGGACAGCGCTGCTGTCACAGCCCCTTTGCGTGCTCACAGACATTGTATTGACTCTCACTCTCCTACCAGGCACGGATTGATTGCTTCCCCGAATTTACCGAGAGAAGCCACACTTACTTCCTCTGAGATTCAGTTTCATGGTAGTGCTGTTGTTAAAGGCTTCCTGGATTAATGTGGAAACCTTTCCCAAGATGTTAGGAGCCACTCTCTAATATGGAGATCAGGGAGGTCTAGGTCAGGTCAAAGGTCACAGAGAGTGGGAAGAGAGAATGTCTTGGCATCTAAAAGTGCAACCCACCTGCAACTGAAACACAAATAAGTCTTCAACTCATAGGAAGATGGTGACTATACGTTTAATAAACTGAGTTCGGAATCCCAAGCCTCAAGCGGTCTCTCTGGGAACTTCAGTATGATATACAGTTGTGTGAACAGATTCAGTCACTCCCAAGCATATTTTATCCTACCAATGATAGTATAATGTCCACCTGGAGAAGGTAAGGAGGGGTGGGAAAGTAAAACTTCTAAGATAAATAGAGTCGAAGATTGAATGAGAGTTAATCGGAAGTTGTCAAATGAAACTTCACATCCTTGATGTTGCTATAGACTGTTTCTTGAGGGTCTGCTTTGGCAGTAGCCTGAAATACAGAAAATAGAAGCAGTAATGAATGATTGAGGGGTGGATAGCCTTTTGTGTATAAATGAACCCCCAGGCAGCCTTAGAGCAAGTGGCCATTCACACGCATCACCCATTCTCTCACGGTTGATACTGGCGCTCTTTGACTTCTCCAGGGGACACTGAGGGCATAGGGCCTGTTATGTGAATCAGTTTTCACTTAACCCTGCCTCTCCACATCGCCAAGTGCCTTATCTTGGGACACTAGGGCCACGCCAGCTGGACCTCAGCATCACTGTTGTAGATTCATAGTCTTCATGAGGTCCCTGTCCTGTGTCACCAGGAGGCACCACAAGGGACTTCAGAGTGACAAAAATCTGAGTTTGTATTCAACTTAGCTATCCACTGGAGATCTTAAGCAATGTACTTAGCTTTCCTTAGCCTCCATTTTTCTCATTGGTAGGATGTGTATAGCTGACGTTCCTCCTTTATAACGTGTGTCTAAGGGTTAACAGAGGTGACTTAGGGAAAGGCTCAGTGAGCTGCCTAGAGGTGACCTCATCCTTCACAACCCCATGTTCAGCCTTCCCAACACCCCAGGGTGGTACTTTCATATCTATGTACATCTGAGCTCACATTGTTGGTATACTTGGGCTTTGAGAAATGTTCTTCAGCATGACCCTTGTTGGATTTCCAAGACCAATTACCCACAGGAGTGACTGCATATCAGTTCAAAATAGGCAGCACACTTCTGTTTTAAATCAGGATCGGTTAAGGGCAATGGCTACTGAACTATCCCACTGTTATCCCAGAGGCTCTCCCTAAGAAGCCCCTGTGGAAACCCAGGGAGCTATTTGAGTGATACTTGGTTTTTGCAAAGAATAAATAACATTGCAGGCACTAGTCTTTTCGGAACTTGCTACACTGATGCTTTTGTTTACGGTTTTGTATAAAGTGGCTGTGTCTCCGGTCCAGTTATTTACTGTGAGTACTTCATCACCAACTGTAGAACAGTTTTAAGGGTGTGGCATCGGGAGTAAAACGCCATGGGGCAGCGAAGTGTAAGGACGTGAAAGCAGACCAGAGGCTTTGCTTATTGGAAGGGCCAGGGTTTGGGGAAAAGAACCCTTTGTTCCCTCCTCCATGTAGCTGGTGACAAAGTCCTGGGGAAGATTTAGTCAAGAAGGGCCAAGACTTGGCCCAAATGCAGCTTCTCTGATAACCCTCCTAACGGATGCAGCGCCCTCCTATTGGCCCAGCCCAGCCACGGCCTTCACGAGAAGCTGCTCACCATTGTGTTCGATCCACCGGTACTGCCTTTCTAGGCAGAGCTCCTCCTGTCTCTGTCTCACCAGCCGCCGAGTCTCTGGGGTCAGGCCATTGGGGTCACGAGAGAACACGAAGGAGTAGCTGTCCGCACAGGTGCCGTCCAGATTCTGCAGACGGCAGGAGTACTGCAGAGCGAACGTGTCGTAGTCCGTATCGATGATCCAGTGGTCATCGTCTGTAAGTCAGAGAGCCACAGAGGGCCGAGGCCCGACCAACCTGTTACCACTGACTCTGTGGAAATGGCTGCCTTTCCTTAGTGAGCAGCGGAGAGTGCGGAGATTCCTGACAGCGTTTGTACAACTGGGCGAATGAGAAAGGATCTTGCTTTCCTTTACAGAAATGAGTCTGGGCATGTCAGTGATAAGAGAAGACACAAATCTTGCCCTGGTATGGTGGACACCTTGCTCATGTCAATGACTCCTTAATAACACATAGTACAACAGTTTTCTAAAGGACCACCGAGGATAAGCTGCCAACTTCACTACCTACCTTCCAGTAACATTTGTCTCTGTGTAGTGTCTGATGACCCTCAATTTATATCATCCCCAGCTACAGGCCACGACTTTTTTGGTGCCCTGCAGTCTACCTCCCACCATCTCACTTGGCCCATGCCCTCACTTCAGTGGGATAGAGGACGCCAATCTGATGAAAACAGATTTTAATGTTCTACCCTTATTCATACTTAGGAGCCCTATTCTCCTCCCTAGGTTGACAAGTGGGGTGCTCATTATCCAGCTTCAAGTATAGTGGTTCATGCACTCACTGACTCAATGTGTACACAATGCAGGTGCGCAAACACGGGGAGGGGGTGTGGGGAGAAATTTCTTCTCATGACTTGCTTGGCAGAGCAGAACCCTTGAAAAATGCAGGTCATACTCATTCCTCAAGGATAAAGCAAGTGATGCAAAGGCTAGCAAAGGCAGAGCGGAATATGTATGTGTGAGCACTGTACAAATAACAGAAATGTGTTTATCAAAAACCCTATGTACAGGTAAGAGTGTTGTGTTTCAGATTCACCATCTTTCTGACACTTGACCAAGGCTGGAACCAGTTACTTCATGGGCATTTCCTTATTTTGGGGGATATTCCTTGCACTTATTCAAAATCATACACCATTACTCCATATTACAGATGGAGAGACAGAGGTGCAAAAAAAAAAAAAAAATAGAAATAATTCCAGCAGGATCAACAGGCAGGGCACATTACCAGAGTTTGCACGCCTAACCTCCACCAGTATCTCCAGACATTAGGTAAATTGGGGGTAGAAGGGACAAGGACAAATAGGCATTTTATCTCTCATGCCCAGGTCTTAAAGGAAGACACTGTCTGCCCATGTTGGACTTCGTGTTGGGGAAAGGCAGAGAGGCCCAGATGTCCAAATATCACTGGGTGTGAGGCCACTCAAGTCCCCACTGTAAGTCACCAGTGGGCGATACCAGCCTGGGATCTGGCTCAGCCCAAACCCAGACAGACCCACAGGAGCACTGCACAGGAGAGGGTATGCAGATCTCTTCCTCCTCTCCCCCTACCAGACAAGAAGAGGTTTTCAGAGGCCTGGCTTGGAAATGTTCCTGGCCCACAACCGATGGCTAGGCAGTGAAATTCCTCAGTAGCTGGAACGTGAACAGGAGCCACATGGCTGCTGGGTCACCCCTCATCACAGGCTCCACCCTCCCCAGGCTCCTGAGCCTCTGGGCAGAATCTAAATCACGGGATCAATGTGTCATGAAGGGGTATCTGGGAGCCTGCCTCAGACACAGAGGCACTCATGCTTCTAGAAATACCTCAACTCATGGTCCAGGCGGCTATCAGCTCAGCACACCTGCAGCTTAATAATTTTACCTCCAAATTGTTGGTAGGATATAAAATATGACATAAGAGATAACTTTCAATGCCGGATTTTAGTGCCCTCGGCTGCTGCTTTTGACTGAGAGAGAAGGCCTGAGTTGGTTTCGTTTACCTCCAGGTTCTTTTTAGCAGAATAGTTCAGTCATGAAGCATACTAAAAGCCTTTGCCAGATACTCCCTCCTAAGGGTCTGCTACTGCTCTGCCAGGGCACAGTTTGTAAAAAATGAACTCAGCCCTCCAGCCTTCTCTTCTGCAGCTGGGTAGGGGTCTCCAAGAAATAGGTAACCCCAAGTCTTTCCAGACATCAGGTATCTGCACACAATAGACTGTGGAGAGAGTGCCTGAGACTATGGCTGGCAGCACCCAACTCCCCTCCAACACTCCAGAATAGTCTAGCCTATTTCCAACTAAACATCCCAATAACCCAACAGCCTGGGTAAGGGGATGGTTTGAGTTATCTAGCCCACTGATTCCCAAGCTACATTGTGCAAGAGGAATTCACTAGAGAAGCCTACTGGGAATGGAGATACACCCTCTCCCGAAGAGTTTCTGATTTATTAAGTCTGAAATCTACACTTTGAAAACAAAAATACTTTGGCTGATTTAGCTGAAGTTGATCTGGGGACAGTGACTTTGAGAAACACTGATATAGACGTTCCAGCCTGATTTTTCCTCACATTTATAAAGACCCCTTTGCCAAGAGAGTGGCAAACTGTGCTTGGAACAAGGAAGAAGTTTAATCCATATTCTTTTGGAGGAGGGAACAACAAAATAACAATCATAGCTAATATTTAATAAGCCCCTATTATGCACCAAGCTAAACACTTTCATGCACCACCATGAGTAGTTCTATCAGCAGTTGCATTAAATAGGAACTATCCCTGAACTCAATTTGATTGCAAGGAAACCAAATTTTAGAGAATCTAGACTACCATGAAGTCTATACTCAGCCAAGATAGGTTGATGCCAACATCCATCACTCTTTAAGATGTCTCACTCCTTGCTGGTAGGCCAGGAGGAGGGAAAGAGAACAATCCAGAGTATGCCCAGAGCAGTCTGCTAGCACTAAAGGGTGTAACTCAGCGGCAGAGCTCTTGCCTAGCATGTTTGATTCCCAGGCCATTTATAGAAAGAAAAAGAAAAAAAGTCAGAAAAGTAGCAAGGAGTCTGTCCCCGATTTCATGAAGCTGACGAACTCCTGGTAAGCCACTGTGACTTTAGCTCTCTCTTCTACAACAGGGATTCAGAATGGCAGCCATTTTTCCTGAAACTCCAGCAGCAACTAAGAGGTTTATTACAATGAATTTGCCTTGAATTGTTTTCAATCAGCCTGCCTTATAAGATGCGGAATGTGGCAAGACAAAAGACAGAATTTGGGCCTCTCTAAACGGCCTGCAAATCTGCCCAAATTCATGCTTAACGCAAGGTCAAGGAAGAAGGAAATTAGTACAAGGAATTAGTATGAAGTTTGTGAAGGTCCCCAGAGAAGCATATAAGACAGTGGGGGACAGACCTTTCCAGTGAGTCTGTAGATACTCAGAAAACAGGAGTGAAGGTGTCACTAGGTCCCAGCAGTTAGCTGTGTGTGGGCCCCTGGGACACTTATTCCTTCGCTTGTAAACTAGGATTTGAACTCAGGGTGTGTGTGTGTGTGTGTGTGTGTGTGTGTGTGTGTGTGTGAGTGTGTGTGTGTGTGTGTGTGTGCAATCCAGAATCCAGAACCTTGTGCGTGTTAGACAGTTGCTATAGTACTGAACTATAATTCCTTCTCTCAGAGACACGCTTAACCATTACACTTCCCAGCTTCTTTTTGAGAGGGCAAACTAAGGGGGAATTTATTCTGGAAAGCCCCCTTCCTTCCAGGGCAGTGGTCCTCAACCCTCTTAATGCTGCAACCCTTTACTACAGTCCCTCATGTTGTGGTGACCCCCAAACATAAAATCATTTTTGTTGCTACTTCATAACTATAATTTTGCTATTGTTATGAATCATAATATAAATACCTGTGTTTTCCAATGGCCTTAGGCGACCCCTGTGAAAGGGTCATTTGACCCCTCAAAGGGTTGTAACCCACAGGTCAAGAACTGCTACCCTAGGGTTAATTATTTCTGAGATCTCACGGTATTTCTTCCTGTCCTAAACCTTTCCTTAGTTATCCAATAGCTTTCAGACTTACAGTTTCAGTGAAATGGATGGGTCGGGCATTAAAGAACATACAGACTGTGTTCTGTAAAGTACCCTAAGCTTTAGGGAACTTTGTTGGAAGTTCTCCTGCCTTGCAGGAGACACGATTGCATCCAGAACCCTGCCTGGCTGGTAATCCACAGGCAGGGCACTGGGCTGTGACCCAGTTCTATGACAACTGTCCCTTCATCTTGGATATCGATCTCTACCTCTCCTGATGTTCCAGATTGCCACACTGGAATCAGGGATTCCACCCAAAGAGAGAGTGGGGTAGTGATGTGGGGAGGCAGAACGGAGCAGGTCACAGTGGGGTGATCAGGAAAATGGCACCCCACAAGCCCAAAGGTCCTTCTGAACTTGGACCAGGTATTTTAGGCTGGGAATCCAGCCACTTCTAACCCCACGCCCCTTAAATTGAGACAGGGCCTAGGGTTCTGCCTCGCCTCTTACAGCCCTTCCCAGTGGTTCCACGGAATAGAAATGCAGACTTGGTCATGCATGTCCCACTACTCACTTCCTCGCTGGAGAAAGGAGGCTACACCCCAGTACTTCATCTTGAACTTGGCAGGATCTTCAGTGTCTGTGAAAGTGCCCACCATGTCTGCACACACTTCCCAGTTGCTGCAAAAGCCAAGAGAATCCTGAGCCAAGCCTGGAAAGGGCTTCTATCCCATCCAAGGTGTCCCTTCCCCTTTCCAGCGAAGCCTGGGCTCCCGGCCGGCCAGGGAAAGGCAAGAGGGACCTTGGAAAGCCGCACGCAGCCCACCAAGAGGACACTGACCTCAGAATACGGACTCGGCCCTTAGCGGTGGCGCTCATATGACCCTTCTCGTCCACGGAAAACTCGGCAATGATGTTGTCTTGCAAAAAGAGACCCTCGGGGTCCTTTTTGGCGATGGCATACCAGATCCCAGAGAACTAAGAAAGAAAGGAGGGAGCTGGGGACTGAAGTTTGGGGTTCACCGCAGACCAGTAAGAATCGGGGGTGAGGGGAGTGGACTGATACCTACACGAGCCTTGTCGAAGTTCTCCTTGACTCGGAAGCTGCTCACCCTGCAGTCGCGCTCGGCGCTGCCACCTCCCAGCACTGCCAGTAGCACGAGCGCCCACACCCACTCCATCTCGCACGCACAGGAGTCCGCCCTGCGGGACAAGCGCGGAGTGACCGCGGGGCAGGAGGACTGCGCCGCCCGCAGCTCCATCCCGCCCCACCCCGCCCCGCAGCCCCCCGGGGGAAGCGCACGGCGACTCACCAGCAGGAGCCACGTGCAAGCCTGGCCGCCGCGTTCGCGCGCGCGAGGAGCCAGGGAGGCGAGCGCTGTCCCAGCTTTATAGCCCCGGGGGGAGGGGGTCGCGCTTTCGTAACCACGCGGGGTGAAAGACCGCGGGGAGGTGCCGGGGGCGGGGGGGTGGTGGGGAAACGACCGGAGGGGGGTGGCCGGGCTTGCATAATGCTCCCTGACTCACCACCCGAACGCACTCGGGGCCCCTCTGCTAGCCTCACCGCTCGGTGTCGCCTTTGCCCAGAGGTCCGCACAGGGTGGTCTCGATGGAGCCAAACTCTCCAGCCCAGACGATCCACGGGGCCAAGAGCTGGCTCGGGTACCCAGCAGCAGCCAGCTGCGGTCTGGAGTGGCCTCCAGGACTCTGTTGCCCTGGCTGGAGGCCTACGTGGCCATGGTGTGGTGATGATGGTCTCACTGGGCGAGAAAGGAACCTGTGATGCAGCCTGGGACATTAGTGTTTAGGCCCTGGCTTTCCCAAGTGGCCCCTGCTTCATTTGCTTCATTTGAGAACCTGTTGTGCGGAGGTTTTTTTTTTTTTTTTTTTTTTTTTGGTTTTGTTTTGATTTGTTTTTTTTTTTTTTTTTTCATAGTTTGGCTGAGATTTTTTCTCTCTCTCTCTCTTTGAAAGGGGACGTGTTTCACTCTTTGAGGAGCTCTGGTACTGTTTGCGTCAATATTTGTCCTTTAGTTTCATCATCTTTAGAAGAACTAAAACGCTCCCTGTTAAATATTTTCTAGAAACTCGGACAGGAAATATTTTTGCAGTGCTGGTGGCCCTGTGGTTGATGGTCCACTTGTGTCGCCACACTTCACTGAAACCACACTGAAAAGCATAACTGCCAACTGTTTACCATACATTTTTATTTCTAAGCCATATTGGGCTTTTACTTATTTCCAAAACAGTGGAGAAAACTGGCTCAGGAGTAGACAAAGGGGAGGGATAGAATCCCGTAACCTTAGTGGTCTGAAGTAAAAAAGCTATTGATTGGCTGCTGATTGTTTGCCTGTGGCATGACACAAGTTACTACATTTTCCTCCGCATTTGGAGCTAGCATTCCCTCAAAGTGATCCAAAGGAAGATTTTGATCAAATGAGACTGAGTGATTTTTATTTAATTTGCCAAGGAAGTATTTGTGTCCCTATGGATCCAAGTCTGAGCGTCAGAGTAGACAGCCATTTTTGCCACAGCCAGACCTGAAATAAGAAAGGATGGGGAAAGGAGAGGAAGACACACTACATAAAGAACTAAGTTGATGTTTCCTTCAGTAAGCTCCTCAGCCACATCTGGCCACCTGGCAAAATTGCCTGTGGCTTCCTTCGACTCCCTGTGACATTCTGGACATACACTTACCTGATTCTCTGCTTTACTCCGCTCCAACTCTTGCATCCATTGTATTCCCCGCATCCTCAGTGGCACCAGAGACTATGTGTTCTAACTCCATAGGACTCCACAACCAGGGAAGACTGTTGTTGGCCTACAGGCTAACTGGAAAATTTGACTGGACCAGTTTTACAAAAAGAGGTTTGTACTTGCCTCTCAGTATCAACAGGGGCTTAATTTTAGTACCCCATGGGTTCCTCAAATCCAAGAATGTCCAAATCCTTTGTATAAAAAGATGCATTTGAATGTAATTTACATAAAGCCTTGTGTTAATTTCAGGATTCTCTGGATTATACTGTTTAATAAAATGTAAATGTTATATAAATAACTATTGTACTGTATTATTTAAGGAATGACTAGAAAACAAAACACTATGTGTGGCATATTGCTTATGCAAACAAAGAGTTGTTAACTGTATTGTTTGGAGAATAATGACAAGTCAATAGAGATATGGACATTAGAGCCTAACCACAGAGCTCATTAAGCAGCTGAAGGTGTTCAATACTCCAACACACACACACACACACACACACACACACACACACACACACACACAGGAGAGAGGCTGGGGTCTGTGGGATTGTGGGAGGCCACAGCAGGCTGTGCAACACATCACATTCCCCCAGGGGCTCAGCAGAGTACTTGTTTTGCAGTAAATTAAATTTGTTTCTGAGTTTGGATCTTTCTGTGTCTTTTTCCTTGAATACTTTTGGCTCATTGTTGGCTGAACCCACAGGTAAAATCTAACAGTGATCCCAAACAGCTCTAAAAAGATGCTTTCAGGAGGGTATGGTAAACCTTGTGTTTTGTGATGTATAGTCCATATCTCTGCACAGGTCATTTCCGCCAGTTCTGCTGGAACACATCCTGGTGGTTCCGATGGTTGCTGTGTAAAGAATAAATGTGGGAGGTTTCAATGTGTCTTCTCAACAGTATGTATTCATTTACATGCTAGGTGTTGATGAGAAAGTCTACCAATCAATCCTCTCCTCTCCCTCCTCTCTTCCCTTCCCTCCTCCTCCTCTTCCCCTCCCTCCTCCTCTTCCATGCTCCCTCTTCTTTTAAACCTTGATGTTTTAGATCCCAGCAAAGAAAAACAGTTTATTTTGGCATCCTATCCTGTATTTCTTCATGATTACAAATACATGAATTCAGGCCAACTGATGCTTTGAACATCACAAATAACTTTCCAACCATGCATATGTATGTACCGGAAAGGAAAATATTCACAATGGTTACCCCTATATGATACAATTTGAGACACTTAAGACTTATTTTTCTGTGTACCTCTTGTTTTATTTCAATTCTTTACAGGTAAAATGTCAAATGTAAATGCATCATTTGCCAACATTTTCCTAGTCCTTTTCTTTGAGTAGTATTGTGTTTTGAGTTTGCACGTAATTCACATAATTCACAGTCATTTTGGCCATCTCTCATTTCAAGGCCAACAGTGGCTATCTCCTTTTTTTCTATGAGACACACATCATGTGCACATAACAGATACTGACTTACCTTCCTTCACTGAAATCAGTCACTTTTCGGTGTTAAGTGTTTGGTTTTTACCTAAACTTTATCTAAATGATACACAAATTAAAATTCCAAGCTTGGTGGTATAGAATGCTTTTTGTTCTTGTCGACAGCTCAGGTTCAATTTCCAGAATTCACATGACATCTCACAATTATCCCTAACTCTAGTTCCAGGGATCCCTCTTGCAGGCACTAACCATGCATGTAATAAATATACAGGTAAAATGTTCATATACATAGAATAAAATTAATTTTGTTTGTTTGCTTGTGTGCCACCACCATCTGGCTTAAAAGAAATATTTTTTAAATGGGAAAAGAAGTGAGATTGATATCACTGACTTTCTGGGTGTTCAGTAACCATGCTTGGAGGTCAATACCAGTCTGGTTATAGAGACTAAAAGGCAAATGTTTTTGGTCTTTGTCTTCCAAGGCCCACTAGGTCCTAGGAGACTATGGGCCATCTGCATCAAGTCTCCTGTCTAATGGAGACCAGAGCCAGAGGCTGGACCTAAACAGTGTACATTCTACCAAGAAGAGAGTCAACACAAAAAGAAATGTCCTCCATGCTTCCAAAGGAAGTACTCCAGTCAGCAAGAGCCTGACTCCTCCCCAACAGGTGACAGAAATGGTGGGTGGGGGAAGGAGAGGGGGAGAGGGAAGGGCAAGAGGGAGAGAGGAAGAAAGAGAGAGGGAAGGAGGGAGAGAGGGAAGGAGGGAGAGAGGAAGGAGGGAGAGAGAGAAAGAGAGAGAGATTAAAGGAGCAGAGGCTCCTCCAAAGCTCTTGTAATCCTTGAGGACCAGACCCTCAGCTGACCTTGACCATAAAGAAAGGGTTAATTTTGGTCACCTACATAGACAGTCTTAACACCCATCAGGAAAGCATAAACAAAGATTTAAAATAATGATTTTTTTTAACAGTCCAAGGAACCACATTAGACAATGGCCCAAATGAACTATACATTATAAATCCATATCCTGATGCCAAGTACTTACTTTTTCCAATTTATCTTGCTCAGTACTACAAGATCACATTTTTATTATAATGTTGAATTCGTCAATTGTGCCAAATCAGTGGGATTCACTGTGGTATTTCTATACATTCACATAGCACATATTGGTTATGCCTATCTAGTCTTCTACACTTCTCACCCTCCTCCCCTCGCCCCCCCCCCCCGTCTCCACCCCCTTTCTAGTCAGTGATAAGCACTCCCGTAGTTTCAGGCCACTGGACTTTTGTTTCTACATATGAGGGAAAACACGTGATACTTGTCTATCTGCATCTGGCTTATTTTGCTCAACACACTGAACTCCAGTGTAACGAGTAGGGTTTTTCCGCCCGCCGCCTGGTCTTGTCCCGCCACTGCGCCAGCCCCAAATAACGCACACCGAGACTCTGTATTAGATATTATGCTGTTGACCAGGTACTACTTTCTTACCGGCTAGCTCTGTCTTAATTATTAACCCATTTCTATGTATTTCCATGTGGTCTTACCGAGAGCGGAGGAATGGCGGTTCTGTTCTCTCCAGGCTCTCCATCTTGACTCCTTCTTACTACTTCCTCTTCCTCCTTGTCTCCTAGTCCCTCCTATCTTCCTTTCCTATTGGCCAACAGTGCTTTATTTATTAACCAGTATGAGAAACATATACAGAATGACATCTCCCATCACTCCAGTTTTATTCATTTTCTTACAAATGATAGAATTTCATTTTTGGCTTAATAATACTCCACTATATACATATATATGTATATATCTTATAGATACATTATATATACATATATAACTTATATACACACATATACATATATATAATTTATATCTATATATTATATGCAAATTATATTTTTAATTTGTTGATAGACATACAGGCTGATTCCAACTTTTTTTTTTTTTCAAGACAGGGTTTCTTTATGTAACAGGTATGGCTGTCCTGGAACTCACATTGTAGACCAGGCTGGCCTTGAACTCAGAGATATCCGCCTGCCTCTGGCTCCAGAGTGCTGGGATTAAAGGTGTGCCACCTT